GGGGATGCGCAGTTGATTAGTTACACCGAATCGTAACTCAAGAATTGTCATACCCCAAATTAAGAAATTAACTATGTTAACTATGTAATTGATCATCAAGATTGTGATTGTTCTTCAAAAAAGGTAACGGCTAGTTTCTTATATTTATAATTACGACATCAGATACTCCTAATTTCTTTCTCTTTCCTCCCATCTCTTATCATAAACATGGCGGACAAGCAAGAAATTTTAGTTTTTACTCAAGAATTTTCAACTTTTTCTCTCGAATTTCTAAAAAATCATCCACAAACTTCATTACAAGAATTAATAAGTGAATTTACAAAACAGAAGGAAAATCAGAATGTTGTTGAGAAAAAATTATATGACGGAACCTTTAAAGAAGCGTTTCGTAGTGAATATCAAGATCCGTTGGGTGTTATAGCTTACTTGCACCAAAAGTTGTGTTTTTATACTGAAGCTTGGAATCCGGATGAATATTATTTTCCTGGTGTTGCTGGAGTTCAGACCTCTGGGTCTGGAAAGTCAAGGTCTTTCATTACATTATCTCAAAAAGGTGTATATGTAGTTTATTGTAGTTTTTTGAGTGAAAACTCAACTGGCTATCCAAAGAGATCAGCAATCGCGAACTATCTTTCTACGAATCAAATCTCGGCAGAGGAAAGCGAGCTACGATTCATCAGCTTCATATGTGCTTGCTTATTAGCAGTTGGCATTTGTGTTCGTGAAGGTATTAGTCCTTCGCATCTAATAAATAATCATCTACCATCCGATAAAAATTCGGATGATAAGTTTTGGCTTTGGATCTGATCTTCAATGGAGGAAATATATAAGGAAATAATTCCTGATGAGTCTGGTTCATTTATAACAAATCTCGTCGTTAAAACAGTTAGAAAATATATAAAATTTATAACATTTAATAATTATAATGGAAGTCACACGTCTCAAGAATTCCTAATGACATCATCAAAAGAAACGTTTATTCAAAACTATTCATCTCTTCGCGTTTTATTTGTGTTTGACGAAGTGCGCCAGTTAATGGGCGACGTTACGGGGAATCGAAAATTAGCGAATAACAAAGAAACTCCATTCATAAATCTTCGTCGCGCAACCCGGTGGTTACCCAGTAAATCAGGAATATTTTTTGCTTTGTTAGATACTACATCGAGGATTGCCAATTTAGCCTCACCAGCCAAGTTAGATCCATCGGCACGTGTTGCGGGTGATGGGAGGAAGTTATTTCCACCTTTATATCACTTTGGATATTTGGATGTTAATCTTAAACCAGTTTATGGTCTCAAATTAGAGGAAGCTTTTAATCCTGAAATATTGTTTCGATATGGCAGACCGTTGTGGTCATCACTGATTGACCGCGATTCAATGGAAAGAATTCGCAAACTTGCTGCATCAAAGCTTGTTGGTGGTGGAAATCGATTTATCGAACTTTGGAATAATAAATATACAAAGTCAATGCATCAACTTGAGGCATTAAGTATCCTACGAAGTCGCTTTCCATTCTATGTCTGTAGATCTGATATTTCTTCGGAACTTATTGCGGGTTATCTCTCTTGGTGCTTGTTTATATCCGAAGATCGTTGGCTAGTAAACTCTACTATGCCATCAGAAGCAGTCATCGCAGAGGCTGGTGCATGTTGGATGTCAAAGCCAAAAATCTTAGATGAACTGTTAGAACACCTCATCAAGGCTGTGACCAGTGGTTGTATAGATGCTGGCCAAGGAGGAGAAATTTCAGCGCAGATTTTAGCCATTCTAGCTCGAGACAAGGTCGCCCTACGAATTAATACACCTTTAGAGGATGATATAATTCCTTTTATGTCTTCGCCAATTTTTTTGAAAGAATTTCTGCGAGATTTGCTCAACTCATCAATTGTAGACGGATTAGCAAAACGTAGTTCGAATTTGTCAAAAAAGACAAAATTGACAGACATTATTGAATGTGGAAAAATTGCCTTTACACACTTTGTATATGTTGATAGGATTCCAAATATTGCAGAGATGCTTATGTTGTTTTCTCGTGGGGCTGCCATTTGTTGCCGCCGTGGACAGCCAGGTTCTGACTTGATTGTTATCGTATTGCTTCCAAATGAAAACAATCAATACTTATTGCAAGAACAGTACATCACTTATCTTCTAATTCAAGTGAAGAATTATCATAATAGGGCGAAGGATCCCGAATACAAGTCTTCAGCAACAACGAAGTTGTCAACAGCCTTTACTGGACTAGATCAAGTTCCACGACATCTATATTTGTCAATGTATATGGGGTTTGGTGGAAAAATGGCTTGGCATGAATTCCCTGAGCCAGAAATTGCTGTCAAAGCACAAGCGAATATGAATGACTATCTAGTAAGGGGACCTAAGTATAATTTAAAGATCCAAGAGCTTCGATCTTCAAATCTTTCACCTGCTGACATTGAGACTATCCGACGTCATCGTCAAATTTCTTTTGCGATTCTTGGGTTTGATGCTGAATTGTATCCTTGCGTTTTTCAAGAAAACTCGCAGCATGACAGACAAAAATCACATAAGTTACAAGGACTGAAAGATTCTGCAACCTCTAAAAGCAAGCGGCTTGCTCGTATCTGGGGCGGAAATGGAAAGAAACAATTTACAACGGAACTTAACCCGGAGACAACCCGTATAGTAAGCTATATTTACAGATTACTACAAAGCTTTCCTGATCCAGTATCGTTTCACTCGGAAGAGTTAGAAAAAAAGCTGGTACGCAATATGGCAACACCTATGTATCTGGATGCTCTTAGTGTAAACGATGATGCGGCTATTCATGACAACTTTATAGAAGCAATTATTGAAAATGATGATGATGATTAAAATAAGTGCTGTTTAGTGGGGTGATCAAATAAGAACCTTTCCAAAAAATTTTTTAAAAATAAAAGAATTGAATTTTTTATGTGCTTTTGCTCATTATAAAAATTTATATTAACAACTAATTCATATGTTGTACTGAATTGTTTTTTTTTTTTTTTTGGTCAATTTTTGCTTATTTCATTAATTATTATTATAAGACATTTTTTACAAAGAAACTTTGTCGACCCGAAATATAAAAATATAATAAATGAATAATGTGCTTTCGGAGTACCGGACGCAGTAATTTCATTGGTATATTCCTTGTTCAAAACAGTTGAAAAAATTTTTTTTTACAATTTGGTTCAATAATCCCAAATATGGCGCAGTAAATTTGCACATACCTAAATAACGAAGGTGATTATGAAATTAAATTTTTTATCGCAAAGTTTTTATTTATTCGTTTTTTTTTTTGCATTATCAATAATAAACATATCAACCTTTTCAAAAAAATAGAAATGTCGATCATTTCCTAATTATCACTATTTTGAGTGGATTATTTAATTAAATAAAATAATAATATCGCTTTATTTAAAATTAATAAATTTTTTATAAATGTTTTTGAGTACTATTTTAAATTTGATTTGCAATTTTGAGGACTAAATAATGGTTGCTTTGATAATTCTTCAGGTTTATATCCACCTGAAGTAACTTCTAATCATAAATCAGCAAGTTCTTTTTTTTTCCTCTTGGATAAAAAATCTGTGCCCTTAATCTAATAATTCCAATAAAATAAATTTCACTGGCTCTCATTTTTTACTAACCTTTTGATATCAAGTTAATTCCTTTCATTATCAGCTCAGATTTATCATTATCACAAATTCTCTCTATAATTAATTCATCTTAGATTCTCACTGTCTTTACAAAGATCAAAAGTATTACTATATAGCTCATGTAGTGATTATAATAAAATTGGATGATATTTACTTTTCAGGTAGTATCTAATGTTTTGTACTGCAAGACTTTATATTTAATATCTACTGTGAATCTTCATAACTTCATTTCAAATCATTATACTCTGCAATAGTGTGTAAAATCTATATGCATAATGTGCACATGTACACATTAATTTTTTGTGTACACATATTACACAACATAAAATGTGTACAAATTATTAAAATTATTACTAAAAATAGATAAATTATGTATAAAAAGTTAATTTTACATAAGAAAATGTTATGATTTTCTTATTTTAGTAATAATTAATTTTAACTTAGATTTTATACATTACTTTGCAAATAATGCATAGCCTAGCAAATTTCTTCTTTTGAATTTCCTTTATAACCTTTAGAATTGCTAAAAATATCTATTAAAAATTGTAATTAACAGGATTATTTAAATAACATAACAGATATCTTGAAATCTATTATGATAATCTTTTTTATATAATAACTAAAACAAATATAATAAGATTTTAACAAATGATTACATTACTTTAAAAATATATAAAAACTATATTACACAGTTTTATACACTGCCCTACAATAAATTACCAGATTTTATCTCTTTAATGGTAAAAAATTGCAGGCAAATTTGCCTGCAATTTTAAACAATTTTAATTAATTTTTAACATAAATT